AAATTTGATTGTATTTCTGGGGGTTGAAAGGTCTCAGATTTCATAATTTCCTGGGGGGAGCATGCCCTCGAACCAGACAGATTTTCAGATTTTGCACTGGAGGGGTGCCGAAAATCCAGGGGGAAGGTGAGCCAGAGGGTGTGTGGCACTGCCAAGCAAATTTTACATACAATATTACAAATAAATTTGCATATTAAACCACTATTACCATTACATGTTCATCATTATATTGCAAAACATTTATTTATAACCCTGGAGGTTTATTTAAGCCACCTCACTAGTGTATACTTATATTGCCAATAACTTGGCAAAACTGTCAAAATAAATGAATTTCATCTTGAGACAGCTTAACTGTGCACAAATCTTTTGAAGTTTTGCTTAATATTTCAACAGACTACGTCTAAGTGATTCAACAAGATGATGCCATTGGGCAATTGTTCATTATGCCAAAAATACATTGTCTTGACTGTGCACAAGTTTTCACAAACATAGACAAAAAGATAGAACAAGATTTTTCCAGCTCATATATTGATTCACTAGGATTTTACTTGAAAGACCATGCATACAGTATGTCTGTGTCTCTTGGGAGCAATCCATGTGCTGTTGTTTACCAAAGAATGCTCTGATACCAGCAGTTTTATTCAGAATAGCCAAATTTGATCTGGGGAACAAAAAGAAATCAATATGTGAGCCTGGGTCTGCCATATTTGTCACAAAGCTATTGTTTCTAAGAAGCTTATAGTGCTTTTCTTCTTTGGAAATTATATTGGAATGCAGTTCAATGGAAGCAATATTAAAATATTGCTAATATATTTATTATGAATTTGTACCATTGTAATACAATTATAGCACAAGTATGCAGACTACAAAAAAATTATAATAAAAATTGCCAGTGTGAGATCATTATTTAGCAATTAAGAGGAAGTTGCTTATTGAGGAAGATAGTTCCAAAATATAACTTGTAAGGCATATAGTTCAGTATAAAAATAGGCAAATAGCTCCCGGTGTATTTAATACAACACGAATGACAAATTTATAAAAATTTCACTATTGTGAAAAATATAACGTTTCTTTACATTTTCCATGTACAATTACAGAAGATAATTTACCTTAGCACTGCTAAAATTGCACTGAAATCGTCGCTGAAATCCAAAAACAATATTAACGCACTCCTAAACGGCAGCCATGTTATAAAATTATACGATTAATAATTAATTTTCGTTCTATTGCTACATTCCATTCCATATCAACGGCCAATCAGATTCCTCCCTGAAACGGATTATCCCAGAGCCTTCGGTTCCTTCCCAAGGACCGCAGGCTCAGGGAACGAGATTGAAGGATCGTCGCCTCGGTAGATTGAACCGGCTTTGAAGCATTTCTTGTTCATCATATAATACAAACGAATATTTGCCGTCCAAGGCCTTGTTTATATGGAGGCGAGTTACTCTGCAATTAGCGAATAACACTTATCTAATGATTCGTATGTATTTTTGAACAATATATTATATTTCAAATGCAAAGCACATACATTTATACACATACATTCGATCTCGGGCGGCCGAGTTAACAAATATCCGAACATCTTTTGTTTAATATGGTAACTATTCATCTCGCCGAAGGCAATATCTCGCCTCTTTCTGCCGGGAACTCGTCACTGGCGAGTTTATACTCTTTACTGCATGTAAACAGTCCCCCAGGTTTACCACAACCTCGTACCCAGGGCCTTTGCGCGGTTCAGAGGCTCTGGTACGGGAAGCAAAGGCCCTGGTAAACACTGGTCATGTGACTCCAAAAATATTGGACATTTGTAACCTGGCCTTTGTGGTTTAGGTCATGTTATCCCGGGGGGATGAACAACTAAACATTGCAATGCACGAACTATAAAAGTTTCAAATACAAATGATTTTGCCTTTGATTTTTAAAATATGAATGTATAACAATTGTTTGAAAATTCATATTTTAAAACAACAGACAGCAGATTTTAGGCTTGTTTTTATTTGATGGAAATTATAAACTTTGAAGTCACATGGATTTTGAATTGTGCTTTAAAGAATGCAGTATATTCGAGGTAAACGATTTTATGATGCATATATAAAATTATATTCTCATATCTTTTAATATTTATCAGTTTATATATCCTAAATTCCAGCAGATTCGTGGTGTTTGTTTGTATATAGTTTTCTTCGTTTAATTACTCCTCCATCGCTTTTGGATATAAACCCTCCTTCATGCCTGATATATTTTTTGGTTATCTCCACCGGCCTTCACTTAGTAATTCACTAAAATCAAAATTTTCTGTTCCAGCTTGCTCAGAAAATATTCAATCTTTCATAACTGGAGTTATCTTTGGCATGTAAAATCATTAGGCAGTACCCTCAGTAAAATACTTATTTAACTGGCTGACCATTACAGTAGTCAAAAGTTAATAAATGAATACATGCAAAAATTACAAATTAACTGCCCTCATACCAATCCATTGCTCTCGGATTCATCCAATAAATACTTAACAGAATAGTATGATAATAATAGAAAAGTGTGAAAATGCCAACGTTACCTAACTTTGTGTGACAAGAAAGTTAGATTACATTAATTTTACAGTCAGGTATTCTTTTCTTTATCACCTCGATACTCTGGTTGATGATTCCAATGGCCCCCATAAAGTTCCAATGGCCCCCATAAAGTTCCAATGGCCCCCATAAAGTTCCAATGGCCCCCATAAATTTCCAATGGCCCCCATAAATTTTACTGGAGAAAATGGTTCCCCCACTTCTTGCCATTAAATCTCCATAGCCCCTAATTTTACCCATCCAATTAGGGAGAGTCTTGTGTGGTCACACTATAGTAGTGGGAATATGGGATAATCAAATATGGCATACTTTGTTATTTTTCTCTGTCCAACACCAGACAATTTTACTTGTCAAGTGTAAGGTTAAGTGAGTAATAAAAAGTGGCTGGATATTCTAACTTTTGCTCCATATAATTGGACTTTGGTTGTGAGCAAAATGTAAAAAGACAATTACCAGTAATACTGGCCTTACTACATCCCTATTATTTACCTTGCAACCTTGAGCGGTTTCAAATGACAGCTAGCTATTTTATGGCAATTATGATATTCCAGTGTGCCAGTAAGACATTTGTCGTTTGTTTCTCTTTTAGTATTATATCGAAAAGGTGATTGCAGGGTATTCAGATCCTGGAGTGATGTGAAATGGCCATGACCTTGGGCAATTTATAAGTAATATATGAGTGGTGTAAAATAGGAAATTTTTTATTCATTCTGATTGACTAATAAAATTAGAATGGTGAGAATATGATGATGATGGTAGTGAAATACAAGTTGTGATGATATTGGTGATGCACAAGTTGTAATGATACTGCTGATAATGATAAAAAATATATTGTATTTGTAATGAGACATAAATACTAGAGATTGGCAGTAATGAATGTGTATGACTTGATCAATTGTGCTGGTGAGAAGGCAATATATTGCCACCTAGATGAATTAAGTCCCATGCCATTTTGTGTTCAAAACTAACTGTTCTCATCAGCTCCAAGCATAACTGGGAAAGCTGGTTTCAATCCTGTTAGCTGATCTTGAAACTATGTGCACACATATAAATATTTATTTTTCCCCTCATGAATTATATTGTTTGCCCAAAATATCGGTTGATTATTTCATCTAGAAACAGTGTGAATGTTGTTTGAATTTGGTATGTTCACTCTGTGACAAGTGATATGTAATTCATGCATAATATGGTGATTTTTGGTTTCAGGATGTAAAAAATGAAATTTACTTACTGATAAAATTCAGTGTAACCATATTCATTAAGCCTCTGTGTCTCTCTTAGAAGCCCTACCTCCTCAATACAAATAAAACTCTGCATAGTGACTTGTGCCATGACTAATATTATGTTACAGCTTTGGTTCAAATTTCATAAATCATGAACCGTAACTGCAAAATGTAAACAAATAGGAGAATGCACACCCAGTATACAGACTGTTATTTGCCTTTAAGACTCCTGAGTCACATATCACTGATATAAGATTCATAGTAAATTTGTTGTTTCAAGATCACTGTATATTATTTCTCATGATTCAGGATTGGTACCCCCCCCCCCTTCCCTCCCTTCCAGACAAACAGAAATATAGATGATACATCCCAAAAAATAAATATGAAATTAACTCACACACACAAAGGTTTCAAGATGCTGTGTACAATTTCATTCACAACTGTATTTTAAACTACATACATACGGAAACCAACCTGTCACTCGACCAGTTAATTGTTTCAAAATATTCTGCTTTGATATTTATAACTACATGTTTAATACACATGAAGAATTTCGTTTCCATAGATGTCCCCTCTGATTTATCCTTCCATAAAAGTACAATAAAATCCCAAGTGATATTCTTTGGTCAATACATAAAAATTACTTATAATCAACAATGTTTATTTAATTCTTTATAAAACGTCGCACACAAGCAGCTGCATTGGATACAAAATAGACAGTTTAAAGACAGATCACTCGACTAGTTTCTCTCAGTTTGATCTTCGTCCTTCGATAAGTATTACGTTATACCACAATTTTTTACCGTTAGCTATACCACAATTTGTTGAAAGAAAGCTCGTAGAATGCATAGATAATATATACCCACTCTTAAATCTCACTAGGAAAGTTTTATTTATCATAATAATATGAAAACTCGAAAACATCGCGCCTTCGCGCTGCCATGTTTGATAAAATCAATCGGCTCCGCTCCCCCCGGATTGAAAACTAAATTATTACGAAATGTCCAATATTTTTGGAGTCACATGACCAGTGTTTACCAGGGCCTTTGCTTCCCGTACCAGAGCCTCTGAACCGCGCAAAGGCCCTGGGTACGAGGTTGGGTTTACCACTGTATAAATTTCTATAATATAGCCGGGATCTTGTCCTTGACGAGTATAAACTCGACTTGCCGGGTAATTGCCTCGATATAAATAGGCCTATAGACTCCCATCTTTTTTTGACATGCTTGATTACTAGACAGCCACGCACACGAAATTCCCTCTTGGCAATATAGCAAACATATCACGGCGATGCATTAACTGAAACACAGAAACAAGGCATCATCTTGATGTTTATTGAGTTTTGTAACACCGTCCAGTAAAAAAATTCAAAATCGAATCAACCGCGACCGAGTTGTTGAAATCCTCTCGCAAAACTAGAGGCTTATGTATTTACGCCTGACTATGTTATAAATATAATGTTATTATATTAAACAACAGCGTATGCCTGTACGGATTTTGAACGATAATATCTTGAAGGACATACGGTTCAAACAGCCAATGAAAGTCATTGTTTTAACAAGTCCCTGCCGTTAACCAATTAACACTGTGATCCAGATTCTGGATCACTTCACACTATTAAGCATCGTGATTGGTGCGGTTCGATCTGAGAAACCATAGAAGTGTTCCAGAGGTTCTTCCCGCTCGCCGCCTCCCAGCTTGAATCCTCGTGTATCCCTCATTATCTCACGCCCTACCACGTGGAAGAACCTCTGGCACCCAGGGTACGGTCCTAAAAAATCCCTGAAAAAAACCCCTGGTTGTATTAAATGTAGTTAGCGTTAACTGCAGTTGAAAAGTGGTTAAAGTTAACTATGCCCAAGGGTATCATTAACTTCTCAAAACGTGTTCAAAAATGTTGTTTGTATGGGAGTGAAGAACATTTTTCAGTAAAACAATAGGCCTAATGAGAAGCAACGCTTACTTGGTATATATGTGTTGTGTTATCTCTTCCAACACAATTTCCCCCCGTTCTAAACCTGGAAATGTCTAAAGGAGCTCTCCAATTAAATATACTTGAAACCCTTTTAAAATAGTCTTATAGATGTTTTATAGTTTTACGGTATCTTAACTTACTCAGTGGTGCAACTTTACTTTTTTACCACTTGTCCTCAGGGCAAGTTGGACATGAAAATTAGTTGCCCTGAGTAAATTTCACTCGCCATCAGACAAATTGGCCACTGGGGTACCTATATAGGGGGTATAAATTATGGCTATATGTTGTATACTGCCTCAGATCTAGCTTTTGCCCACAAAAAACAAAATTTGAATCAAGTACATGCACTGTAAAAACTTTATCTGACAATGAAAACATAGGCAACTTTTCCAATCGGGCAAGCAGGATAAAACGTTTTCTTGCCCGTTCACGATATTCACTTGCCGCGGGCAAGTGTTAAGTTACACCTCTGTATAATATTCCCTTATTTAATAGACTTCTTGATATCTCGGCTACATGTAAACAACTCAATATATAATGTCCATATTCTAAATATAAACTAATCGTAATACGTGCGTTAATTATTAATAGACGTACATTACTATACCATTCCCTTTTTTTAACTTGATTGTCAAATATCAAAATGTTTAATTAAATTTGAAGTTATTTAGCTATTTCATTGTTATGTTAGTTTATTAGATTTGATGGATATTCATGTCCGTATCGATTCGGTGGTGTTCGAATTCGGCTTGATCTTCTTGGTACTTCGTTGTTTTCATTACTGATGGATGGCTGATTGTCCTGCGAGTTTTCTTCATAATCGAAACCTTCATCATCAGTGTCTTCTTCTCGTGGTTTATTTATTCGCTTGAAATGTGACACGTTCCGTTTCACAATATGACCATCTTTACTTTGGGCAAGTATTTCTGAACCAGTTTTCTTTATCACTTTATACGGTTTGTGATTAAAATTCGCAGTTAGCTTGTTTTTCTTTTCTTGTCTAACCAGTACATAATCTCCAACTTGTAGATCACTTTTTCTTGTGTTTCTCCTTTGATTTGCATATTCTCGGTTGCGTTCTTGTCGTGTTTTCTCATTGTCTCGAGCTTCTTTATGTCGATTGACAATCTTCTTGCTGTTTATAACTGGTAATTTTCGTTTTATCACTCGGTTAAACAACAGTTCTGATGGAGGTACTCCTGTAGTGCAATGTGGAGTGGTACGATATTGTAAAAGAAAACGGTTCAATTCTTGTTTCCATGGTCGTGCTTCGAGTGTCGCTGTCTTAAGCGCTTTTCCTAACGGTCGCATAAATCGTTCAACTGTAGCATTACCTTGTGGCCAATAGGGTGTTGAAAACTTAGCTTGAATACCAAGGGCTTTCAGATATCGTGCATAGTCGTTTCCATTAAAAGGGGGACCATTGTCAGATATAAGGGTGTCAGGAATGCCATGGACTGAGAACATTTTGTCAAGTTTTGGAATGACTGTTGAGGCTCGTGTTGAATGAACTATCTCAACCTCTGGGAATCTGGAGTATCTATCTACCGCCACTAACAGATATTCAGACGATGATAGTGGGCCATAAAAATCTATGTGGACAGTTCTCCATGGTAACTCTGGCATTTCGGTCATACGTAATGGTTCTGGAGGATTCGCCTGTCCGACAGCTTGACAAGTGGTGCACTTAGCAATTGTGTTTTTGACTTGGTTGTCAATTTGCGGAAACCAGATTTTTTCACGAATTAGAGACTTCGTTTTCTCTATTCCTAAGTGTGTCTCATGTGCTATATCTATTGCACGTTGTTGTAGAGCCGCAGGAATGACAATCCGTGTTCCTCGAAGTATAACACCGTGTGTGGTAGACGTAAGTTCGTTTTTTACGGCTTTGAACGGTTTTACAATTGGGGAATCCCATTTATTTGTTTTAATTGCATCATGGAGTGCCGTTAGTGCCGCGTCTGCGTTAGTTGCATTGATTATTTCTTGTAATGTCATCGCCTTAGGGACACTGTTCTGAGTTAAATAAAATTAATATATTGTTCCGTCATCTTCTCCTGTTTTCGTCTGCTTTCGTTTGTTGGATGACGAGAAAGATAGTCCGCAGGGTTGCTGGCACCTGATTTATAAATTATCTTAAATGTATATGGTTGGAGGCGAAGCACCCATCTTTCAATTCGCGCTGATGTTTTGGCTGTACGTTGACCATAAATAATTTCTAAAGGTTTATGGTCAGTTATTAGTGTAAATTCACTTCCATATATAAATAAATGGAAATGTTCAACTGCCCATACTATCGCTAACGCTTCTTTTTCCGTCTGGGAGTATCTTTTTTCTGTATCAGTCAGCGCTCGGCTGGCATATGCAATTATCTGTTGACTGTCTACGTCACCGTTTCTTGGTTTCTGAGAAAGAATTCCAGAAATTCCTACAGGACTAGCATCAACTGTCACAAAAGTTTGTTTGTTTTTGTCGAAATATGACATACATGGAGCAATTGCAAGCGTGTTTTTCAGCTTTTCAAAAGCAGTTTGGTGTGTTTGAGTCCACTCAAAACGAACATCCTTTTTCGTCAGGTCACGAAGGGGAGTAGTTAGTGTTGCAAAATCTCGAATGTACTTACTACTATAGTTGGCCATGCCAAGAAAGCTCCTGACTTCATGTGCATTATTTGGCTGAGGTGCATTTAATAGATCAGCTACTCTCCTAGGATCAGGATGAGTACCTTCTTTCGAAAAGACCTGTCCGAAAAATGACAATGTAGTGCTAAGGAAATTACACTTGCTTCGGTTTAGTCGTAAGCCCTTCATTGCAAGTCGTTGTAGACATTTGTCAAGATTAGCGTCATGTTCAGTTCTTGTTGAGCCGAATACAATGATGTCATCAGCTATGTTCTTGACGCCTTTAAGCCCTTGCAGTGCAGTTTGGAGTGTGTACTGAAATATCTCCGCTGCAGCGTTTGTACCATAGTTTAGTCTTTTGTAGCGATACAAACCTACATGAGTGCTAAAGGTTGTTATATAACGAGACTGTTCGTCCAGTTCTAACTGATGATACGCTTGGCTCAAATCAAGTTTCGAGAAAAATTTTGCTCCATTCAGGGCAAAACTAACATCATTTACTGTTGGTATAGGATGGCGCACTCGTCTTATAGCTTCATTTGCGAGCCGCATATCGACACATATGCGAACCTGTCCATCTTTTTTGGGAACAGCTACAATTGGTGAAACCCACGGAGTAGCTTCATTTTCGGGCACTTTTTCAATCACATCTTGATTTCTAATTCAGTTATCGCGTTTTTCACTTTTTCTCGAATGTGATAAGGTATGCGCCTTTGGGGTTGTGCTTTCGGAATTTTAGTTTTGTCTATATCCAGTTTAATTTTTTCTCCCTTCAATTTTCCAAGATCGGAAAAAACTTTAGAATGCTTTTGAAGGATGTTTTCTAGTGCGGCATCCTTTGATGTCAGTTTGTCTACATGCAAACTAATAAGTCCGAGTTCTTGTGCAGTAGTAAGAGAAAGTAAGTTTCCACAGTTCGCAGCTTTAGCGACATAGAATGTGGCTACAGATATTCGTTTTCGTGTTTCGATTACCGCTTCGAATTTTCCCAAAAATTCAACTGGTGATTTCGTATTATACGCGAAAGCTTTCGTGTTCGTGCGAGTTAATTTTATGTCTTGCATTTTGTTAAAAGTGTCACGATCGATCACATTTATTGTCGCGCCACTGTCAATTGTTGTTTGAAATTTGGCACCGCCTACTTTAACATTGACCTTGTTATTGTGCTTTGTAGCTATTTGTCATGGTATATAAATAGTCTTCATCGGAACTCGAGTTTGATCCTGTATCTAATGTTTTTAAATTTCTTTGTGCATGCTTTTTGTTTGAGTATCTCGGTGATCGCGTTTGTTTTTGTTTTCCTCGACAAACAGCAGCGAAATGATTCGGTTTTCCACAATTATTACAGGTTTTCCCTTTCGCTGGACATGCTCCTGTGTGTGGATAAGCACGCCCACAATTTCTGCAAATAACATTACTACTGTTCGAAATATTACCGTTATTAGGTTTTTGTTCTAATTTATTAGCCTCACCGTCAGTTTGTTCTTTAGATTCAATTTGTTCAACTTGATACTTGCTCTGCTCGTCACGACGTCCTTCTAAAAGCATTGATTTTAAGTCAAATGTAGGATCACGC